GGCTGGAGGCTTGGGCAGAAGGAGCAGAGCACAAACCGGGGGGAATTGGGAACTTGAGGTGCAGCAACGGGGTGGCCGGGGGGGGCAGCGGGGCCGGGGACAGCTCTTGCCGTAGCGTGGCCGGTCCCTTACACGTAGGTTTGACGTTCTCTTCTCGTACTGACCCTGCATACTTGGCAGGATGACTACTTCGTGACGGCCGACCAGCTGTGGGTGCCGCTGCGCTGGATCGCGCCCGAGCTCATCGACGAAGTGCACGGCAACCTGCTCATCGTGGACCAGACCAAGTCCAGCAATGTCTGGTGAGCAGGATCCTGGGGGGCACAGGGGGCTGCAGCTGGGCACGGCACGGGCTGGGGGACGGGGGGTGCAGAGGGAGGTGTCTGGCACGAGGGCAGCATCGGTGGGATGCATCGGGGTGGATCATTTTTTGGGGCTGCTGGCCGGTAGCAGGGTGGGGGTCTCCCTGTGCCCCCAGCATCCCGCCCTGCCCACAGGTCGCTGGGTGTCACCATCTGGGAGCTGTTTGAGCTGGGCAGCCAGCCCTACGACCACTACTCCGACCGGCAAGTGCTTGCCTATGCCATCAAGGAGCAGCAGCTCAAGCTGCCCAAGCCCCAGCTGAAGCTGTCGCTGTCGGAGCGCTGGTGAGGACCCGGGCCAGGCTGCGGCCGCGTCCTGCCCCCTCCCTCTCCCCGTCCCCAGGCGGGCGGGGGGCTGGGGCTGACCCCCACCCCTCGCCGCGGCAGGTACGAGGTGATGCAGTTCTGCTGGCTGCAGCCGGAGCAGCGCCCGACAGCGGAGGAGGTGCACCTCCTGCTCTCCTACCTCTGCGCCAAAGGGGCGACGGAGGCGGAGGAGGAGTTCGAGAAGCGCTGGAACTCCATGAAGCCCAATGGCAGCGCCAGTGCCAGCCACCACGGTGCCGAGCTCTCCTCCTTCCCGCTGCTGGAGCAGTTCTCGGCTGACGGCTTCCCCTCGGACGGGGACGACATCCTCACCGTCATGGAGACCAGCCACGGCCTCAATTTTGAGTACAAGTGGGAGCACACCAAGACTGAGCACTTCCAGGCGCCCCTGGGGTCCCTGAGCCCCAGCAGTGCCGCCCGCTACCACGATCTCTACTACCCGGCCACAACCGCGGGACGCCTGAGCCTGGGGGTCTCACCCTCCTGCTACGAGTGCAAGCCGCCGGGCTGCCCCGGCCTGCCGGCACCCGGTGTGGTGCCCATCCTGGGTGCCCACAGCCCCTCGCTCGGCAGCGAGTACTACATCCGCATCGAGGGGCCCGGGGAGGGCAGCGCCGAGTTGGACTACGCCATGTGCACCTACAGCCCTGCGGGCGAGCGGGGGTCCCCGTGCCCCCCAACCTGCTGGAGAGCCCAGGGTGCCCATGGCAGCACCTACGACTCTGACAGCAGCCCCACCGTCTCCCTCAGCATGGAGCCACTGCTGGGCCACACGCCAGCGGGCGAGGGCTCCTGGGAGTGCGCTGAGTACTACCCCTACCCCTGCCCAGGGCAGGAGCCACGGGGCTACGAGCCGTCCCCCAGCCATGGGGCCGAGGGGTACCTGCTGGAGGAGGAGCCCGTCCAGTCAGGCAGCCAGGAGTGGCCCGTCCCCGGCTTCCAGCCCAGCATCTTTGCCGACCCGCTGGGTGTCTCCCCGTCGGTGAACTGCGCCTACAGCCCCCGGGGGTACGGGGAGCCACGGGCAGCCCCGCTGGACGGACGGCTGCCGGGGCAGAGCGGGGCTCGTCCGGACTGCGTGGCACTGGAGCTGGGCGAGGGCAGCCCCCCCGGAGCCCCCCGCCCACAGGGCATGAGCCCCCCGGCTCAGCGGCATCCCTGGGCCTCCAACAGTTCCTCCAACAATAGCGTCGGCAGTGGCAGCCCAGCATCCCGCGAGCCCCCGGCCGGTGACAGCTGGTGTTACCGCCGCATGATCACCTTCCGGGGGCTGATGGCCAAACCGCTGGGCACTGTGCCGCGTGGCCAGCCCCAGCTCGGGGGGTCCCCGCCAGGCCATGACTTCCGACGCCTACAGCAGGAGCAGCCCCCCGGCACGGCCGGCGGCTCCTCCTCCCCGTGCCGCTCGCCCTCCCCGCGGCGCCAGGCCTGGCACAGCCGTGACTCATCAGCCTCTGGCTGCTCGCAGGCAGCAGCGCTGGCTGGCAGCCCTGGCACGCCGTGGGGCCCCGGCGCAGCCCCACCAGCTGGAGCGGGGGCCCAGCACAATGCCTGTCCAGATGAGAGCATGGAGGGGGGCAGCCCTGCCCGCAGCCTGCTGCCCCACACCTCGACTGCACCGGGGCTGGGGGAGGCCGCCCCCATGGCCGGCACCGCCGCCCCGAACCCTGGCCCCCCCCCAGAGGCCGGTGTAGATGGCACCCAGCCTGCGCCAGATGCCCCAGAGGCGCCCGTGTCGGTGCCTGGGGAGGCTGCTGCTGAGAGCAGCTCGTGTGCCAGCGGTGACGCGGACCGGACGCCGGACAAGACCTTCTCCAGCGCCAGCTTCCCCAGTGTGGATGAGGGGAGCGATGAGGACACGGCGGAGCTGACCTCTGGTGTCTTCACTGACTTCTCTGGGGACTACATGGAGAGGATGGAGGCGGCCCCGGTGTTCAAGTCCCTGCAGAAGCAGGTGGGGACACCGGACTCCCTGGAGTCGCTGGACATCCCCTCCACAGCCAGCTCCTGTGAGGTCTTCAGCCCCACCGCCTTCGCACCCGCTGGCCAGCCCAAGGCCCTCGACAGCGGCTACGACACTGAGAACAACGAGTCCCCCGAGTTTGTCCTCAAAGAGCCCCATGAGCCGCGAGAGCCAGAGGCCTTCAGCCAGCTGGGGAAGCCACCCCCGGGGCTGCCAGGGGGTGAGGGCGAGGGTCCAGCCCCCGAAACGCGGCTCTCCACTTCCCTCGGGGCCGAGCTGCACAGCCTCTCCGAGAAGAACCCCTACCGTGACTCTGCCTACTTCTCCGACTACGACGCCGAGGCCGAGCGTGGCCCCAAGGATGAGGAGGAAGACAGCGACAGGTCCCGGACCCCAGAGGCAGAGGAGGGTCCCCAGCCCCCCATGCAGGACCTGGGGCGAGCCCCCGTGCCAGGAGAGGACCTGCTGCACCCCCCGGGGGCACCTGGCAGCCCCCCAGCAGCGCCTGGCATTGCAGTGGCAGTGGACGTTTCGGCAGCTGGGGTTTCAGCGGGGGACTGGAGGGGGACAGAGGCCGGGAGTGCCCTGGCCAGCCCCACAGGGCAGGGGTCTGGCACCGATCGGCGACCTGCTGGCATGGGGCCGGTGCCGGGCAGCTCCCTGCCCCCTGACAGAGATGCCTGTCCCCCGGGTTCTGTACCACCCAAGACTTTCTTCTTGACCCCGGTGCCAGCAAGCGCTGGGGAGCTGGTGTCCGTCGGAGGGATCTGTGTGCCCGAGGGTGTCCCTGGACTTGGGGGAGCCGCAGCTGGGGGCGAACAGACTGTGCCCCCCACGCCGGGGCTTGGGGAACCGGGGCTGCCCCCGGAGGGGACCATGGTGGGCGACGCACCGGGGGGTCCCAGCACGCTGCTACCGGCGGGCGAGTCCCCCCCCC